TTTGCTCCCGTCGCCTACGTACAGTTCTATCAAAAGCTTGAATAAGAGAAAGCTAAGCAGATATTAATACGACGTTTTATTTTCAACGAAGGAATTTTGATCCATCATACTCAGCACGTAATTTTACGATGGGGGCTCACTTCTTTCGAATTTTAAATTTTAACTGTTTATTATAATTGAGCACTAGTAACTGATATCAAGCTAATAAGATACAATTTACCCCCCCCCCCCCCTTCCTGAGATTTTTGCTTCACCCGTCCCAGTATTTTTTCTTTGAAATATATGTAATGTAAAATCGATTTATGTTTAAGTAACTGCAGCGTTTCATTTAATTCAAAGTTATCTACTGTAGCTATTGGATTTATAATAATAATAATATATGAATTTATAAAGCGCTAAATATTAATAATATAACTCTAAAGCGCTGTACAATAAAACGCAAGTAAACATAATTTAAAAGCTATGAAAACTTATATAAAATATTAACCCATACTCATATATGTGTTCGAAATTATAACATTAAAATACTACAAATTACATACAAAATACAATTACACCATCAATAAAACTCAATAAAAGAACATCATTTGTAATTTATGATTTGCTGCTAAAAATTGAGCACCTAAAACTTAAAAAGCTATCCTATAAAAATGCGTCTTTAATTGTCTTTTGAAAATATCCAGGGACTGGGCCTGCTTTATATCATTAGGAAGGTCGTTCCACAAAAATGCTGCTGCCCAACCAAGTCGACGTTCACCATATGTCTTCGTCCTGATCTTAGGAACAACTAACCGTGATGTTGACTCAGATCGCAGTGATCTGGTAGGCTTGTATTCCATTATAAGATCTTTGATATACGATGGAGCCAACCCGTGTAAGGATTGGTAGACATATGTCAAGATTTTATATTGTGGACGAAAAGAAACAGGTAGCCAATGAAGATCAGCTAGGATAGGTGTAATATGCTCCCGTTTCGATGATCTTGTAACTAAACGAGCTGCCGTGTTCTGGACTTTTTGAATCCGGTCTAGTAAGGCCTTTGACACTCCATATAGAAGGCAGTTCCCATAGTCCAGCCTGGCAGTGATAACGGCATTCACCATGGTCTTGCAGGCTTCTTTTGTAAGAAAGCGCCGTATTCGTCCAATATTGCTTATTTGAAAATAGCATGACTTGACGACCGAGGATACCTGTTTTTCCATAGTAAGGTGTTGATCGAAAAATGCACCTAGATTTTTTACACATGGCACGCTTTCAATGATATTATCACCAACTTTTAGTTGTAATGTTGGCAGATACTTCTGGTGTTGCTTTGTGGAGATTATTAGCTCGGTCTTTTCTTGGTTTAGTTTGAGTAGGTTTGATGTCATCCATGAACCAATTTCACTAAGACACGCTTCAAGTCGAGAGAAGTAATTGTTCCAATTTTCCAGTGGTCTTATGACCATGTAGATTTGTGTATCATCTGCATAGCAGTGATATATCATTCCATGGCGGTGGCATATGATTCCAATGGGTTTGGAGAAGAGGCAATACAATTTCGGTCCGAGTACAGATCCTTGGGGGACACCAAAAGGCAGCTGTCTAGACTCTGATCGGACGGATCCAATTGTGACACATTGTTTTCTGTTCTTGAGGTAAGACTTGATCCACTCAAGAGGTCCATCACGGAAACCATAAGACACAGTTAGGCGTTGGAACAATATATTATGGTCAATAACATCAAAAGCAGCGGATAAATCCAAAAGGACAAGGACTGCTGAAGATTGTTGGTCTAGGGCTGTCACAATATCGTTGTGGACCTTGATGAGGGCCGTTTCCGTGGAGTGCCTGGGACGATATGCCGACTGAAGTGGATCGCGAAGAGAATTCGCATCCAAATGGGCATCAATCCTACGAGCCACAACTTTCTCCAATATTTTTGAGATAAAACTCAAGTTCGATACGGGCCGATAGTTTTTCAACACTTCCTTATCTAGTCCAGGTTTCTTAAGAAGTGGACGAACTATGGCCTCCTTCCAAGCAGACGGAAAAATTCCCTGATCGAGAGATGCATTAACAATTTCTGTGACAAGCGGTATTACCGGATCCAGGCACTTTTTCAGTAGCTTTGTTGGAATTGGATCCAGTTCGCATGATTTACTGGGTGCCTTCATTATTAGTGAACGTACTTCATCTTCAGTGGTACGTTCAAAAGCAGCTAATAGAGGCCCGTGATAGTATACGTCTGTGCCTAAATAGCTGTCTTCTTTTTCTGTTTTTTGTTTAAGTGTCTCTCTGATGGATGTTACTTTGTCTATGAAAAACTTTAATTTAATTTTTAATTTGATGCAATCTGGTGTAAAAACTGTTAGATATTACTTTTTTCTGTCTGATCACGATTAATTTTCTGTAAAATAAAAAAAAAAAAAACAGATTGAATTTTAGAGTCAAAACAGTGTTTAATACATTTTTGTACTAGGGTGTTCGTGCTAGCTTACATATCATGCGCGGTCGGTATCATGTATATTTCGGAAGTTATTGTACATGCAATAACTTCCGAAATATACCTGTCTACTACATGCCCTTAGCACAGCGATCTTCAAAGGAAAAACGCCTCAACCACGATACAAGAATACATCCATTGTACTGCCTTCCATGTAACTTTTACTCAATGAAATGATAAAGACATGGATTACAGGAAGTTAACCACTTTATTGTCACAATAACAGTACACGTAGGGGCGCAGATCCTATAATACACTGTAGGCGCAAGTGTGTCTGTTTACAAGAGGTGACGAGATCTAAGGGTGATCGATTGTTGTTTGATGATCGTTTGATGGTAAAAAGCTAAAATAAACAAATACAAATATACAAATACATGCTATAAACAAACTTACTACAAACTTACTACAAAGATAAAATGTTTGAATGAACTAGATCAAATTACATTGCTGACAAATTACATTACACAGTTTAACTCGCTAAAAGTACACATGAACTTTTACAAAGGTATTTAATGTCGTTTACATTAGCCTTAAAACCGCAGCTTTAAACAATGAAGAGATAACTTCTAAAACTTACATTGTGATTGGCCACAGTTTCTCTAAATTTACAAACGTCTGGATAGTACTACTAGCTGAGTCCTTTACAAGAATGAAATGTGTGCGTGAAAACATAGACTATATATAAAACCTTCACAGGAAACAGCAAAGTTTCATATTTTAAAAAAAATATCAAACTGCGGGCTCTCCCAGTTAAATAAACAAAATGCAGCTGATTTAAGCGTCAACATTAACAGCAGACGGGACTTTATGGTCAGTCAGCGAAATTCAAGCGTGAGAATATGGTTGTAAAAACAATTGGAACAATGAACAATGCATTTAGTCATTCAATATTTGATATATTTGCTAATGGACCTAAAATGCACAATCCGTAATTCTAAGTAATACCAAACAAAATGTAAGACATTACATCCATAAATTCATAGAAAAATCGTCATTTTAGATGGAGGACGATTTCCTTGACCTATTTGCAGATCTAGACCAGGTAAACGAAGTGCTGCGACAATGTGATACAAACTTTATTGAAGTAAAGTATGACACTAAAGATATGGCTTGTCCGATTATGAAATGTAATGGGATAAAATTTCCAACTAAGAGAGGAGAGGCACAGAATGCAGTTCAAGATGTTTTTGTGCTCCGTGGCTGCTTGTTTGGCCGAGTGCCGTCGTAAATCAGATACGAAGGCCCACTTTTAAAAGGACCAAGCATGAGAGGGATCCCGAAAGCATGGAGACTATACAATTGAATTGTGAATCAGTGGTTCGGGAGAACAGGGTTTATGTTGACCTAGGACTTTTTGTTTTCAAGGTTGCATTCGTCACAAAGGCAAATACGACTGTTCCCCCGACAGTGCAGGTGATTGGGGAGATGGCTCCCAAGACTGAAAAGGATGGTCAAGCGTGTCGGGGGCCAGACACTATGTGGAAGCTTGAGGGACCAGGAAGAGGATTTCCCTCGAGAACTACCTTGCCAGGAAGGAAACCTCAGGAACCACTGTGTCCACTCAGACCTCTTGGAGGGGCTTATCCTAGTCTTTTACACCCTCCCCTGCTAGACAACAAAGAAGAGCCGCAGACCTGTCTTGCATGGATGTGTAACAGTATCGATCAGCTGGGACGTGCCAGAGAGATTGCCGAGCAAAGACCCTTTGAACTGGAAGGAGGAGAACCAGAGATATAAAGATTCGAGGCAATCGTTAGAGCAAAGGATTAGAGAGCTGGAAAAGGAAATACAGAGACTTAAGGAAAGACTCACATTTTCTTGGATGAATGATCGTAAAACCTAAGTATAAAGACAGCAGGTTTTTTATCGATATGTATCGAGATACATGATTTTGAGTGAAGTGTACACTTAAAGTACATAGTTATAGCTCTTTCTCCTATTGTTCATGTATGTATTACTTGATATGGATTTGTTTGTACATATATTTCATAAAATAAATTTATAATACCATAATGTGTTTGAATATTTTACACGTAAAATATTGATTCTTTTGTTATTTTATTTAATATGTTGATATGCATTGTAATTTGTTATTGTTTTTGATTAATGTATAATGCACGTTAGTTTTAAAGGGACTGGGTGTGATGGTTTTGTCTTATAAATATTTTAGAGTTATTTCCCTTTACTCATATGAGTTGCGTTTGCGCGTGTCGGGACTGTAGATCCCAGCCGGTGGGGATCTTGGGGAGTCGTTACTTCATGTTTTATAGATCAGACGAACTTGTGGGTATTGTGGCCAAATTATCTCAGACTAATGGTCAATATCATTTATCACATTCTCCAGGATTTCATTATTATGATAATGTTTCATACGTAATTGTTTATATTTGTGTTACAATCTGTTAATTATTACAGAATATAAGGCACTGTGAATCTCCTTTTCATTTGAACTGGGATTTCATTTTAAATACGGGACTAACCCTAGACGGTCCCGTTACAGTTACATGCATACGCAATGGAAGAGTTTTTTTCTTCGGAAAGTAAAAAAAAACCCAAGAAAAATAAGTCAATAGCCTTGCTTTAAGAAATGACATTAACCGTATTTAACATCCTGAACGAGATACCGTGTTTATTGACAGATATTGATAACCCCTGTTTTTATATCAATTATGATGAAATATTCATTCCTCGTTTATTACTAATTATTGGCTTTTGTGTCAGAAGACACATAACAAGACGATTACAATGTATTAAATTTTGTAGTCAGACAAAAGCGGAAAAACAAGGACAATATGAAAACCATACAGAATTTCGTTTTCCTTTTAGATTATTTTTTATTCATATCAGGAAATTTTCAAAACGGATATTCCAAACTAAGATACGGTTACAGACTGGACAGAAAAATGATTGACTCCTTTACAGAGTATAGTATTTTAGATTGTGTAGAAGAATGCTTAAGAACTACGCGCTGTAAATCTGTAAGTTATTACAAAGGGGCAAATTATTGTGAAATCAGTTATGAAAATAAAACTACCGCCCCAAAAAGATACAAAGAAGACACGGGATGGATCTATAGCGAGAAAGAAGATTGGGGTCCGGTAAATATATTTTATTACTTTATCATTAATCATTAATCATAGAATAAAACTATTTCATGTTATTTTTAAGGAAAAATATGTTCTTTTAATAAAGCAACATCTTTTAATTTTAACATATTTCGAATATAAAAGAAATGATCTCGAAAGGCTTATATAGTGGATTTGAATTAACAATACGGAATATATCAGTTAAAAAAGATATAAAAGAAAATCAGCTGTACATTTCTAGTTATTTTGAAAACTGCTATAAATAATGATTTTGCTTAGGCATTCAGTAACCATTTAAAAAAAAATACTTAATGTCTTACAGAAAATTACAGGATTTTGTTCGGTGGCAAAGTGCAAAGAAAATGAAAAATGCATCCCCAAATCCCTTGGAAATTATGAGTGTATATTATCTGGTAAGTTTGTTTCACGTCCTATTCGGGGAATTATAACTTACATTGAGACCCTTCTCTTGGCCAGCTACATCCTTTTAGACTAGATGCATCTTTTTATGCCTCTATGCGGATCCCAGTTCATAGGATCCCTAAGTACCAGTCTCTTTATTAAGAAATGGGATTCGAACCGCAGAATAAAAATCAGCACCATACATTTCGACTGTTGATTGATTGTAAGTTGTTTAACGTCCCTCTCGCGAATATTCACGTACATGGAAACACCGCAACTTGCCAATGGAGAGCTGCAAGTGCTGTCATTTACTCGGCAACTAGGGTCATTGAGCAGGGAGGGATCTGTTTCATGTCGTCAGCACCTACTATGATACGGGGCCTCGGTTAAATACAGTCTCATCAGAAGGACAAGTCTTTGCGTTCCACAGTGGGCGATCTCCCGCCGTCAAGATAAGCTCCCTTATTTCGCTACCCTACAAGAGACATTCTAATTACAGTGCCAGGCAGGCAACTAGTAGCAAGGAAAAAAGTCAGAAAAAAAATTGCCCATATGTATCCGAAAACTTGGATTGAAGTACACTTATCTAAGTTCTTTACAAAAATTAAATTTAATAGAATTTTGAGATTGTTCTCTACATGCATTCATATCATGTACACTAAAATCCAACCATTAACAATGACAATGCAAACGGGAGAATCCCCTTTCAAAGAACATTCTTGTATCTATAGACCGAGGCATCCTTTGACATCGATCCAGATGTATACATACACACACCCAAACTCACCATCCTCCTCTCTCTTTCTCTCTTTCTCTTAGCCTCCCACACACACACAAGTGAGTCACTATTTTATCTCAGACTCCACTGCAAGGGGATAATCAAGAAAATTGTAATTAATGATGTATCATTAAGTAACGTATGCATTACTAAGAGTTAAATAATTTTTTAAATGTAAACAGACTGTGGGATGCCTCCGGTTGTAACGGGCGCTGACTCGAATAGTTTGGAAAGATGGGATGCAATAGGAATCTACAGACAGCTACACCTACAATGTCACAAATATATCTTCAAGAAAAAGGGTTCAGGAATGCTAGGATGTTCTGCAAATGGTGAATGGACAATACATCTGAGTTGTCGTATGTAATATATTATACATTTAACGCAAAATCGCTTTCAGAATATATACATTGGTATATTCTATATACAAAAATTACGAGAAACACTAAAAAAATGCATCGAAATCTTAATATCAATTTGTCCAGTAATGCCTAAATTATTTGTCATGGAAGGGGTTAAATAACAAAAAATTGAAAAAATAACATGGTTTGGAAATTAATTTTGAAGAGTATTTCAAAACTGAAGATGTGATCTGTGTACTTTAAGAATTTTCCGATTGTTATCCAAATATTGTATACATACGGACAAAAATGTTCAACGCAGGAATCATTCAGAATATTTCACTGTGCATGTGTGATGATTTTTATTTCTCGTTTATATTTCCTAGAGTTTCAAGAAGTATGGGTACCATTTGAAGACAAGTTGTATCTGGTTCGCTCCAAAAAACTTAAATGGCATGATGCAAAGGTATGTCTAGAATTCATATGAAACATTTAAAACTCTGAAAACTCTAATCTCCTTATCCTTATTCTTTTAATATAACAAAAGAAAAAAGAAATACAGGGTAATCAAATAGCGAAATTTCCTTTACACATACATGTAACCAAAAATTACAAAATTTGTAAGGTGATAATCATGGTTACTATGCACTAAGATAAGTGTTCAGAATTTCTCAACCGTTAAATGTTTGACGTCAGGTCGGAAAAGTGCTATAAAACCACATAAAGAAACGTGCAACTTAATTACGACAATTTTGTCAACGATCTTTTTGCACCATTTCATGCACTTGATTTTCAGTATTATCTAACGAAATGCATCATTTGCAACCAGCTGCTAACGATTGACGGAGGTTTCATGGAGTATGACTAAGTAAGGACTAGAGCAAAAAGTAAAAAAAGGACCTGACGTTTTTTCGGCAATAACGTCCAGATAGGAATATCAAGGCGCGTTCAGAAAATCACGCTAACAAACATTACGCTGATAAACTTAGAAAATTGTGCATAATATGCCGTCCCCTTACCACAAAATACGCTGTCATGCATAAGTATAAGTAAATTACACGCCGTCTCGATTTTAGTATTTCTTTCGATATGGAAGAAACACTATAATTGAATTTCTCGCCATCTTAAGGTCACAGAGAAAATAGGTGGTCAGTGTTCATCTTACTAATCTACGGTACAATAAAGTTGACCTTTTTGCATTTAAATTTTAACTCTTTGGTTAATTACTCAGCCTTAATTATATCTTATCGGTAATATCGGATGTAACCGTGGCAAAATATATGATCTTATTTTTACGTAAATATATTTTGAATAATATTTATCATTGAAAAAATCTTGCAAATTAATGCGCATAAATTATTGTTGTTTGACCTTTTTGCACTAAAAATTAACACACTTTGGGGTATTAAAAAACTAATAGGCATTAAAACATTTTCTTAAATCAAGCTTTTCACAACTTAAGTGCTGATCAGTCACAAGTATCGAGTACTTTAAAATAATGAAAGAAAAAGTTGGAGTCAGTGATGTTAATTTTGAAATATTGGTCAAAATATGTGATTTTCAGGCGAAAAATGTTGTATATTTTATCTCGACTTTTTGGACATATCTTCATTTTTGGCAAAGTTTGTTAAAGTAAAGGAAGGTATAAAACTTGTTCTAAAAATATAAATTAAAACCTATATTAAATATTCCTAGCAATATCATGATGGAAAATATTCTCCGAGTAAAAGTATGTGAGGCTAAAGTTCCAAGACATTAAATTGAATAAATGTGCAGATTTGCAGAAGTACCTGCTAAATATCATTCCACCACAAGAAATAGTCCCTCACAAATCTTGCTTCTTTGAAGCTTTTTGAGCATTCTTTTTCTGTTGAATGTTAAAATATTAACATTGTTGAAATTAAATATAGTTTTGAAGTAAGAGGTTGTGTGTGAGCTTTTCCAAAAAGCTGACTAGTGACCTACCTTAAATCTAATATGTAATGTCCTTTTTGTATACTTTTTCCGTCTCTCATGAACCTTAGAAGTTTTTTTTTTCGAAGGGGTCATAATTCTGCGTTATCTCCAATTTTGTTCAATCCGCTGGTAGAAAATTACAGGGATAACGCACGAATCCCCTTAATTTGGGCTTAAAATGTGTGACGGCGTATATAACGTTAATTAATACTACGCAGAAAAAAGTACCAAAATAATTTCTTACCTTTCTGTGCGCCGGTTACGCGTTTGACGGCGTCATCTTAATCGAACTCCATCCTAATAATACTTTGAAAATCATGACAGCAATCGTTTGATTCTAATGCAATTTATATGAGATATTGACATGTTATTAAAATTTTGATTCTGGTTTCACTGATTTAAATTTGAGTTTCATCTTTTACATAGTATTAAAAAAATAAAATCAAATGTAAAACTTATATACGTAAATTGTTACGAATTTTGTTCGTGTGCCGACAGACCATATCGGCTTGCATATAAATCGTCCCAATATTATATTTATCCATATGAAAGATATTTTTTTTTATTTATGTATGACTTGCTTCATACTAACTCTAGCCTTATTCCGCCATATTGCTTAAAGATACCTTGTCTTAACTCATATAGAAGTAGGTGATTTAACCAACATCAGCAGTTATGAATTCAAAATTGACCCACTAACAATGACTTTATTATATCTCATATGAACCTTAAAATAAAACCCACGAACAAAGATAAAGCGAAGGTTTATCTTGATCCTCGAAAAATGTCTTCACATTTCCGTTTAAAAAAACGATGCATTTGGAAATACAAAAACAGACCAGATTAATAAGTGAAATATTAATTTACTGACGAAGCAACATTAAAAAAAAAAAAAAAAAAAAAGAAATAAAAATTAAAAAGAAAGTAATTTATACCAAGTAAAACAGTGCATTTGAATACTTCTATTTTTAGGAGGACTGTGAAATTTTGGGATCAACTTTGGCAGAGATAGAATCAGAAAAAGAGAATGACTGGATAGTAGAAACATTACTGAAACCGTTTTTTGGTATGTAAATGAAATCAAAATGGTGGTGGTGGGGGATCCATAGTATTGTTGAAAGAAGACCAACCCTGGAAACATGAAATACAACAGATTTCTGATAGATTTTCAGTTCAAATGTATAAATTATTTGCTGGAAGTTGAGGCATTTTTTTTTTCAGTCAACCATCGTTATTTCTAGATTCTCTCATAACGATGATATGTCGCTGCATAGTAAAATGAAAGAAAAGTATTAATACATTTTTTCCGATCTCATGAACAAAATGTAAAAAAAAAAAAAAGAAATGGAAAAGTTTCGTCCCAAAGTGTTGAATAATTATTTCCTGATAGAACAGTAGGATTCTAGCTTAACAGCACATTTCATGTTATAGAGATGTTTTACAAAACTAATATTACAACTCAAAATTAATAATCCCAAGGGTAGTATACCTTAAACTTCTTACTTTTTAGCTCACCTGAGCTGAAAGCTCAAGTGAGCTTTTCTGATCACATTTTGTCCGTCGTACGTCTGTCCGTCTGTCTGTCTGTCTGTAAACTTTTTACATTTTCGACTTCTTCTCTAGAACCGCTGGGCCAATGTCAACCAAACTTGCAACAAAGCATTGTTGGGTGAAGGGGATTCAAGTTTGTTCAAATGAACGGCCACGCCCTCACTTAAGGGGAGATAATTGGGAATTAATAAAAATTTGGAGGTATGTTTTAAAAATCTTCTTCTCAAGAACCACTGTGCCAGGAAAGATGAAACTTATGTAGAAACATCCTCAGGTAGTGCAGATTCAAATTTCATTCAAATCGTGACCCCCGGGGTTAGGGCGGGGCCAAAATGGCCGACGAAAGTTTTACATAGAAATATATAGGACAATTCTTTAAAAATCTACTTCTCAAGATTAGCAAAGCCATAATTGATCATATTTATATGGAAACATCCTCAGGTAGTGTAGATTCAAGTTTGTTCAAATCATGACCCCCGGGGTAGGGCGGAGCCAAAATGGCCGACCAAAGTTTTACATAGATATATATGGGAAAATTCTTTAAAATTCTTCTTCAAAATTGATCATATTTATATGGAAGCATCCTCAGGTAGTGTAGATTCAAGTTTGTTCAAATTATGACCACCGGGGGGAGGGCAGAGCCAAAATGGCGGACCAGAGTTTTACATAGAAATTTATACGTAAATTCTTTAAAAATCTTCTTCTCAAGAATGGCAAAGCCATAATTGATCATATTCATATGGAAGTATCCTCAGGTAGAGTGTAGATTCAAGTTTGTTTAAATCATGACCCACGGGAGTAGGGCGGGGACAAAATAGCTAACCAAAGTTTTACATTGAAATATGTAGGAAAATTCTTTAAAAATCTTTTTTCTGAAGAATTGCAAAGCCATAAGTGATCATATTTATATGGAAGCATCCACAGGTAATGTAGATTCAAATTTATTCAAATCATGATCCCCGGGGGTAGGGCCGGGCCAAAATGGCCGACCGAAGTTTTACATAGAAATATATTGGAAAATTCTTTAAAAATCTACTTCTCAAGATTAGCAAATCCATGATTGATCATATTTATATGGAAGCATCCTCAGGTAGTGTAGATTTAAATTTGTTCAAATCATGACCACCGCGGGGAGGGCGGAGCCAAAATGGCCGACCGAAGATTTACATAGAAATATATAGGAAAATTCTTTTAAAAATCTTCTTCTCAAAAATAGCAAAGTCATAAATGATCATATTTATATGGAAGCATCCTCAGGTAGTGTAGATTCAAATTTGTTCAAATCATGATCCCCGGGGGTAGGGCAAGTTTTACATTGAAATATATGGGAAAATTCTTTAAAAATCTTCTTCTCAAAAATAGCAAAGCCATAATTGATCATATTTATATGGAAGCATCCTAAGGTAGTGTAGATTCAAGTTTGTTCAAATCATGACCTCGAGGGGTAGGGCGGGGCCAAAATGGCCGACCAAAATTTTACATAGAAATATATAGGAAAATTATTTAAAAATCTTCTTCATAAGAATGGCAAAGCCATAATTGATCATATTCATATGGAAGTATCCTCAGGTAGTGTAGATTCAAGTTTGTTCAAATCATGACCCCCGGGGGTAGGGCGGGGCCAAAATGGTCGACCAAAATTTTACATAGAGATATATAGGAAAATTCTTTAAAAATCTTCTTCATTAGAAAATAACAAAGCCATAATTGATCATATTCATATGGAAGCATCCTCAGGTACTGTAGATTCATATTTGTTCAAATCATGACCCCATTAAGTAGGGCAGGTTCAAAAAGGCCCACCAATTTTTACATAGAAATATAAAGGAAAATTCTTTATAAATCTTCTTCATAAGAATAGCAAAGCCATAAATGATCGTATTTATTTGGAAGCATCCTCAGGAAGTAGTAGTTTTTTAAGCTTGTTTAAATCATGACCCGGGGGGGGGGGGGGGGGGGGGTAGGGCGGAGCCACAATGGCCAATACAGTTTTACATATTCATATTTAGGAAAATTATTTTAAAAACATTTTATAAAGAATACCACAGCCATGATTGGTCATGGGACTACTTTTGGATTTAAACTTTTTAGTAATAATCCAATTTCTACTTTTTGCTAGCCACAGTGCTCAGGTGAGCGATGTGGCACATGGGCCCCTTGTTCAATGAGGCATATTTTCTAATTATGACCGTCACATAGTGACATCGTGATGAAGTGCTTCCTATAGTATACTAGTAAGTCCCATTGAAGTATATAGAATGCCTAATGATAGCAAAAGTTTTCTCCATGACTTTCCTGTTTTAATACTGTAACATATTCGCAGGGGGGATAAGGACGCATACAAATTATTTTATCTGGACTAGATCAGTGCTACATTATGACGTCGTAGAAGGCGAGATGACTTTAATTGTAGAACACAAGTTTTCGTAATATTGGTATTTAGAGACGTTATTTAACTCTAGAAAATGAATAGAAACTTGTAAACATTAACAAACATGAAATATAATGTTTTACATCCCGTGTATCAGTGCCCTTAATTTCATCCATTTTGACAACCTTTATTACATCTTTCCAAATCATCTGTGTACTTTTCATAGGGAATACCTCGGATCATTTTACTCTCATTTTCAATATGTTCTTTTCATTTGAACACACAAGGAGCCTAATAAATTACGTCACATTAGCGGGTACTTAACACAAACAAAGATGAATGCATGATTTGATACGTATTTCTGGACTGATTTGGATTTGGAATTGTTTAAATAATAAATCCCTGAAATATAAAAAATCGTTAGTTTTCCCTGGTGCAAAATTTTGTTTTGTTTCCTACATTATTCAATACAAAATTTTACAAAGTTTTAACCTTGTGTAAAAAAAATCTTATGAAATTCTTTCAATATACTTGGTAAACATTATTCAGATCACAAATTAAAAAGTAAATATATGAGAAATATTGCTGATTTCGGAAAAGAAAAGAATAAAGCATTTTTTAATATATTAAAAAACAACAATGCATGACAAAATGTATATCACATCCCGTATTAACACTCGACCAATTTTAGTCACCTGGTTTTCGGTCGTCGAGCTGATATTGGAGTCTCGGTTTGATACGGTTGTGAAACTGTTTTTTCCATGTATTATTCTGTATTAATCCTCGCTGCAGATCTGTAGCGTTATGGTTTTATATATTTGTCTTTGTTATGGTCAAAAACAAAAATATAAAACCATAACGCTACAGATCTGCAGCTATATCAATCCCAATACGAAATCTCTGGCAAATATTCAGCCCTACAAGGCCCTTAATTTTTGCCCCTAATTCCGTCCATATTATATATCATTCTTATTTATTTTCATAAAAAAGAACACAGTGTTGCTGATTGGACTTTCACAATATTTTGGATTGGCGGAGAATGCTCAGGAAATAATGCAGGACAGTGTAAGTGGGTAGGAAGTGGCGTCAAATTTTCTTATGAAAACTTTAAAGATGGTGAACCAAATAGTTCTGATGAAAAGTGTGTTTTCCTTGACAAGAATGGAAAATGGAATGACTTTCATTGTTCTAATTTACGTCATTACGTATGTGAAAAGGACAATTAGTTGCAAATTATTTAAGAAAAAGGAGCTTTCCACTTAGGTATAGTAGCGTGGTCCCTTTTTACACCCTTGGTTTACTAGATAGATAGTAGCAATGGGTATTTTGTTTGATTTCATTGTGTATAACAAAGTATTTCGTATAAAATCATAATGATTTTATAATGAATTATTTAACATATTAAAAACTACAAGCCGATTTTTAACACCCATCGCGCTAAAAAATGCCGGAACTTTTCCCCTCCATCAGATTTCCCTTTTTTGTTGTTACATGTAAATGGGCGGAGACATTTAGATTAGATACTATAAAAAGAAAATCCGTGATATAGAATATTTTTCCTTTCAAAGAAGAATTATATGTTCAAGATTCACAATCAACAACAAATACAATTTTCTATTCAAAAAATTCTACCAATGTGAATGAACCACTGTAACAAGATTAACCAAACAAGTCCATATGCTAACCGATACATGATCTGAGTATGTCGATGGAGCTTTTCGCGATATTTCCTTAACTGGTTTAATTATTTGATATTTGATTAAATGATTGCTATTCTAAGTCAAATCGTAACATTTGTTCAAAATTAATATATATATTTTTTCATAAGAACTTCTAATTTATAATGAAAGGGGAACTAAGGAAAACTGAAATTAAACACTTTACTTTGAATTATTGGCATATCTCTCATTTAAGAAATACACAACGCTATTTAGTGAACATGACGTTATGAATAGCAATTGTGCATCATGGAAAATATACCAGCAGAGCTGAATAATCGTTGTTTATTACTTATATTTGCATTCTGTCGGTTTTTATTCTTCAAGAATAGCAGAGGAAATCCTGAATTACATATGGACGCGGCTTATTGTCTTCAGTAAAGAAAAACATACGGCGTTAAAATCGGTACACCTGATAAATGCTCCTTTTCTCT